TGTGGTTCATTTGTGTTGCTTTGTGGTAGGAATCTTTTTTTTTTTTTTTTTTTTTTGTACATTTATGATGCTTTGATATAAAACAATAAATGTTTACAGTTACTTCAAGCTTGCAAAGCAGATCTGGCTCAGGGTACCAACAACTAATTGGACCCCTGGTGGGCAGACTGTTACCGAAATGAAAAGTAAAAGCTTCTAATACAGAGATGCCCTACTTTGTAGTTAAGTTCAAGACAAAAGCTGTAAACAGTCTTTTGTTTTTGTTTGTGTTTTTTTGTTGTTGTTGTTGTTGTTGTTTTTTGATAAGTTCAGATTTGTCACAGAAGTGATTGTCTTTTCATCTAAAACTTGAGACCTAAACTCAGCAAGTCATTTTTGCACCTGAGCTCACTTCTGCTTGGCTTTAAAACTGTGAGAATGTGTCATGTAGAACTTTCAGTTCAATGAGCAACACATTAATATGTAGAAGGTTGCTTTTGTGATGTGAGCTTGGTGTTGAATATCAACGATGCATTCAGCAACACAAGCATGAAGTCAGAATTTTCAGCATCCAGTTAAGAAAAAAAAAAGACAATGCTAACAAAGAGCCCAATTTCTTGTCCAAACCCTAATTAGCGTGCAGCACAATGAGTTCACTGTAGGCCGGTGGTGTCCGCTGTCACCAGTCCTCCATCCAGCAGAGCATTTAGAGATGAGCTGGAACAAGAGATTCGCATCATGCAGCAAATGTGTGATGCTGTCATCTCAAATTTAGCCCTTAGACAAATAAAGCAGCTCTGAATGTTAAAGGAGTCCAACCCATAAAGCATTAAGTATGAGCAAAGTGTACCTAATAAAGTGGCTGTCCAGAATCATTTTCAATTATTGAAGAACAAGTAAAATGGAGGGAGAGGGGGACAGTGGGGGTAGAGACTAAAAAGAGCCACTTTCCTATATATGTGTGTAGCAACGGTCACTTTGCTGTGACTGTTAAAAATGAGACAGATAATCTTTGAAAAAAAATATGATCACAAACACACAAAACACTGCAACTAATGTCTAGTTGATGTTTATGGTGTATACAGTTGGTATTATTTTTTCCATTAAAAAAATTTTTTTTTTAAACATCTGCTGACATCTGATAACAGATCTGATAACGGTTTATCGTCGCATGGCGTTGCTGCATAATATTAGAGAAATGTGATGATATCGATGAAAGTCACCATGACAATGTGATTTGCCAAAAATTCAGTTTGAGGTTTGAGGTGTTTGCATTTGGCTACTGGAGTCTGTGCTTGAGAGGTCTGTCTCCAATATGCAAGTCATGTCCAATATGCAAGTCTTGTGACTCATAGTTGATGTCCTAACAATAATTTTCCAGGTCCTGCATGCTTTTGATGACCAGTGCCTTGACTTTTTCCCACGTTTTCTGTTTCATTTGATGAAGATTCTGGAGATTGTTGTTCATGTAGTTTGTAACTCCAAATTATTTGCAGAAGAATTTTCAGAGCGCACCTCATAATTATCGGAAAGAAGTTCAAAAGCCCAGGTGCAATGCTAACTTAGATGCTATTGGCTGGTGTTTGCAAAGCAGCCAATCCAAGAAAGTCATTTATTTTCTTTGACATTGATTGACGGTAGCATGTTAGCCTATGCTAACAGTTTGTATTAATGCATGTTTAGGTGTATTTAGAGTTTAAGATTTTACAACAGGCAGTTATAAGGTTTTTTAGAGGAGGTCTTGAATATTTGTAGATTAAAGGCATATTAAGTAAATGATTGTTCACATGCAATTAATCAGTATAGCTCATGCATCAGCATGTTGAAGGAGTGTCATTAAAACTGAGTGCTAAGGTGTAACCTTAAGTTGCAAAATCTGAGACTTAAAGTTAGTTCAAAATAAGATGCCTCTTTAATTTAATAAGTTATCTGAGCTGAAGAAGGAAATGTGATAGTTTCTAATAAATGAGACATTTTTAGAACCTTGATTCCAAACACAGTGCTAAGGTTCATAAGCTGATGTGAATGTCAAAATGTTTTATGACAGATTATATTAATTAAGCCATTAATGTGAAGCTCATTAACAATAAGTACTCAGCAATATCTGAACAATCTCCAGATTTTCAATTTTAGATTTTTAAATACACCAGTAGCTCCACAGTCTTAATCAAACATGTAGAAACAACTTTAATTTGTTTAATCTGTGCAATTAGCAGTAGAACGGTCAATGTAAAATAAAAAATAAAACACTGATAAAACAATAAGTTGACTGTCTTGGTCAGTCATTTAAAAAAATTCAACAAACCTTCTTTCAAATCGTTCAGAAAATGCAATAAGGAATTCTAAATATAATGTAAAATAAATAATAAGGCATGATGTCACTCAAAGTACAAAGCACAGAACTAGACTGAATAGATCTGTCCATTGTCACTGAAACCCCACGTAGAATTATTTCAATACCAGGGCGGATACAAATATTAATATCAGCTGTGACTTGAAGTAACTCGTCATTAAACTGTTAGTTTAGGATAATTAATCAATTATCCACCAACATGTTTCCATCGATTCTTCTGCTGTGATGCATATCATCCTGACTGTGGCCGCCATCCCTCCTCCCATCTACTTCCTCCCGATCAGTCAAAGAGCTCTGTGTTCAGCTGGCTCCTGCAGAAGGGGTCGACTGTCGGCCCCCGAGAACACAGCATGGATGCGAGCCACCGTTCTCTGTCAGTTTACCTATCAGAAAGTGAAACATGGAGGATGACCTGACGGCGCGAGGAGGGAAACAGGCCGGAGGGTGGTAAACCTCCGTCAATCTGATTCCGGGTTTGACGCAACAGAAACCTCGACTGCCGAATTTTAACCCGGGCTTATTGAAAAATATATTATTAGAATCTATTATCCACATGTCCATCATGTTACACATTAGGAGGTAGCAGCTCATGTGAGCAGGCAGAACAATGAAGGAAAAAAACAATGTGTAAACTGATTACTGTCTTGCAAAAGGAGCCAAAGCTTTGGAACTTTTAACTTTTAGTCACTTTACAAACACTGATGTCGGCCAGTATAATTCATTGAGATCTAACCAGACAGACCAACATACAGTGCATACAGAGGAAGCCAAATAATACATGTCATTTTCTTTCTTCTTTAACACATGAGATCTGAAAAGTATGGTGTGATGCCCTTGAAGATGACATTACATTACAATAAAAATGCACCAATATGAACGTCCCCTACAAAGAGGTTTTTAGTCTGAACTAGTTGTTTATCCTGGCAAAATAAATGTTAAATAAAACAATAAAAAGTTATTTTGATGTTATTGGTGATGAGATATTATACATACTGCACATATTTTCCTACCACCTCACCATAAAAAGCCTTCCCAAACTGTAATGGGATGGTTGATATCAAAAGAAATACTTGTTAGAATGGCCTAGTCAAAGTATTGAATCGAATCTTAATGACAATCTGTAACAAGACTTGACAACTAATGCTTAAAGACAAAACAGCCTCTAAATATTAAAAATTGGTAAAGATTATAGACGCATCGATCCGATATCGGTCCAGATATTGAAAAAACTATTTAGATTGGGTAAAAGGGCAGATCTGTTCAGCCTATTTCTATGCTTTGTACCTTATTATTTATGTTACATTATATTTGGAATTCCTAATTGCATCTTTGAACCATTTGAAAGACAATTTGTTGGAATTTATTGATTTCATAAATAGACAACTTATTGTTTTATCAGTTTCAGTTTCTTTATGATTTATTTTACTTTGGCTGTTCCAACTTCACTGACTGAACAAATGAAAGTTGGTTTTACATGTTTGACCAAGCTTGTGAAGCTGTTGGTGTATTTCAGTGAACTGAACTGATGCAGAGTTACCAAATAAATGTGTAATTTAGTTTATTTATGCCTGTGTTTAAAAAAAAAAGAAACATTTTTAGTTAGTTCAGCTGTTTTTCTGTATCGGATCGGTATCGGCCAATACTAAACAAACAGATACCTGTATTGGAAATTTAAAAAGTGGATCAGTGCATAATAGACATTCCTCTAAACATTTTCTGGTGTTATTTTGGTAAAACATAGTTCCAAAGTGTTGACTGAGTTTATTAAAGTGCAAGCCACAGTTTTTTCTTTTTTTTTTTTTTTTTTTGGTAAAACATTCAGAAAGCCTGTTCCAGTTTTCTTCCACCTGGATGAAAGAGGTCAGGTAAACAGCCACACAAAGACGTCACATGTTGACCTTCCACTCAGACCTAAGAGGAGCAACCCGGCGGTTCTGATTCAGCTCAGATGAGAATCCGCACATATCGATTACATGCGTACATGCTGCATTCCAGCGCCTCGGTGACACATTAGCCACATCACCTGAGGCGGAGAGAGACAGAGTCCTATGGAGCGGAAATGTTAGACATGAAGGTAAAGAACTCCCCAACATGATCCGCTCCTACGCACGTTCCACTGATCTGCAACCTGAGCACAGGTGAGTCCGGGGCCGACCGTAATGTCAGAAAATCAGAGAGCAGCGCAGGGGAAACCAAAAGCCAGCTACCATTTAACATGGGCTCCGATCGGAACTTTAGGAAGTGACAGACTTCCAGGATGAGTCCAGACCTTAAACAAGGATCGTTAGTATAGTTAAAGTAAACCGCCGGGACGAGATTTGATGCATGTTGCCACGTCTGCTTCTCTCTATGCTCAGCAATTCTCTAAGAATCTGGTCTGACTGCTTTGACATTCCACATAGAAGAGAAAGTCAAGGCGATGATGGGAGATGAAATCACCTCTGACTCGCCTAAAATGGTCATTTTATCGGAAATGTGCAACAAGATGCGCATCTCCCGCAAGGAGGCGCGTCACGAGTCAGAAAAGTGCCATGGGGACCTAAAGGGTGGGGGACATCATCACCTTACCAGCTTCCCTGTAGTCACTTGTTGAAATATTTAACTTTAAAACTGAAGAGGCTTTCAAAATCATATCACAAAACAATGAAAGACTAAACATGCCGAGTACCTTGATGATGCTGCTGCGGCGCGGTGCTGTCTTCACGGACTCCAGCAGGATGGTGTCCGAGTCCTGGCCGCCGCCGCCTCCTCCGGGGAGGACGACACCGCTCCGCCGGCCACGGGACACTCTCGGCGGGATGAAGTCCGGCGCCCCGTCGCCGTACAGCCCGTCTCCACATCCGTCACGCTCCGACATGTCAGCGCTCAGAGGGCTGGGAGACTGGGTTTGGGGGGGTCAGTTTAGAACAAGCGGGCTCGAGGGAGAAAGTGAAGCAATTTTACGGGATCGGAGAAAGTTTGGTGCCCTTGTTCGGGGATGCCATTTAAAAGAGGAGCGGCTCTGTCAGCCTGACGCACACTGCTCAACTCAATTTGACTATTTATAAGCAGGATTTCATAGTTCCAGAGTTGAAGTCCACGCTGACTTTAGGCTGGTTGTGTTAGCGCGCTCCGTGGCGCATCTACAGCCCCGAGCATCACATGCAGGTTGAGGTTCAGGAAGGGGGACCGACCGGTGCGCTCCCCTGAAGACGCGCAACAAGTCCTCGCGTCTCCAGCGCTGCTCCTGAATCCCGGTTCCCTGGAAGCGGTCAAGGCATCCAGACGTGCGTAAAGCAACCAGCAGCTGCTGCAGCGGAGGAAATCTCCCGATCCAACGTTGTCCACCAGGTTACCAGGGCTACCCGAAACCGAGCCGCTCCGTGCCCGGAACACGTCCTTTGGTGTCAGAGTGCACGAGGGACCGGGCTCTCGGCGTGGCGCGGCGGATGGACCGACTCGCTCGTGCGTCGCCGCGCGTCCGTCTGATTTTCAGTCACAGCAACAAACAGCCGACTTTTGAAGAGGACGAGAACACAACTGACAGGCGCTCGCGCCGCCTCTCGGGCGCCACTCCTCCTTCCACCCTGTGCGCGCGGCTCCGCCCACTCAGCGAGACTGACGCGCGAGGCAGCCAATGCGCGCAGGCGCGGGGAGACAACCGAGGAAGCGCGAGCCTCCGATAGGCGGAGGCCGTGAGTCCCTGAGAGCGAGGAGCCGCCAGCATGAGGCGAGGTGTCAACATACAGCTGTGATGATGCTCAGGCTGATTTAGGTTATTGTAGCGGGGCTTTGTGTTTGTGTGTTTGTTTCTGTTTTTTGTGTCTTTTCGGTTTCATCTCTTGAAAAGGAAACAATCAGCGCCACAGTAGTTAGGGAAAAAATGAGCACATTTCCTGCAAAAATCTCAATTTTCTTGAAAAATCTCTGAATTTCTTAGATTCTTTTCATATTTTTTCTAGAAACCTTCTGAGAATAATCAATTTTATAGATTTTCGGGACTTTTTTTCTACTTTTTGAACTCAAATTTTTTTTGTTGGTCTTTTTTATGTATAATGCAACTAAAAAATAAAGATTATTTCTGTTTGAGGGAGAAATGTAAAGTAAGACATTTGCAATAACCTGGCTGTATAACTATGCACATCATTAAATCTATAAGCTTGGTTGAAAGCATAACAGGTTTGTTTTTGTTTTTAAATAAATATCACTCTGGATCTACATACAACACCTTCTCTTTGTTGTCCAAATCCAACTTCCTGCTCACAGACCTGATTTGGGTCGATGCCTGGACTCACTGAAGCAGCAAAAAGCAGTTTGTATTTATTTATGCGTTTATTTATTGATCTGTCATGTTTTATATCTATATCTTCATGGAAGAAGGTGACTCTGTAAGTCTTTTATATGACACGATTTCCCGTTAGAGGCTCCACTTTATCCAAAACTTCAAGTTCAGTTCTTCCAGATACACCCAGTTTCTCTATGAGTGTTGATACGTTTCATTTCTATCCTAACTGACATGTCAGGATAAACTGTATTTCCTGTTGTAGGAATGAAAGAATAAAACCTGACTGAAATGAAAACTAAATAAAAACCAGACTCCCCGCTGCTCTTTTTAAGGTTATTTCTGTGAATAGTGAGGCTCCCAAGCGTTCAGGGACGGTCCAATCTGTGAATCTCAGGTCCTTTACTGTTGTTTAGTCTTCTGTCTGAGAAGTGAGACCCTGGCCTCTCAGTCCTGTCCGGTAGGTGTGGGTTCAGGGTGGCAGGCAGCTGGTAACAGTGACTGCAGAGCTGCAATAAAGGACAGATACATTATTCATCGAAGTGGTAGCAGAATCACTTTTTCTTTCCTCTGGTGGGGAGGTCAAAGGTCAGGGTGAGGGAGGCAGCAGCACTTGAGAACTGGCAGGGTATTTAAGTGTTTTGCTCATGGAGATGCTCAGCGGGGTGGACTGATCCTGGCCTCCATGACCTGCAGGCTTCTGTTGGAGGGGATTTTCTCTGTCTGCTGAGAGATGTGTGGAAATATGGTCCACTGAATTAAAAAAATATAAAATGATCCTGTGTGCATCCAGTTACCACGAGTGTTTAGAAGTGTGCTGTTCCTTTGCATAATTCACCCTATTGGTCATATTTTACTGTGAAGAATTCATTTTTTCCTCCTCAGTAAGCCAAAAGAGCAAAACAATTAGAGACCAAACTTAGGAAGTCATCTCAACATGGCTACTGTATTAACCCTTTAACAAAGTTTTTACCAGCGTTGCAGTGAGAAGTAGCTCTTATAATGAGCTCAGCTGATGCGCAGTTCCACCAGATGTTTGCTAATTGCTGCTGGCTAGTTTGAAGGAACTCAGTGGGGGAGTAACAGACAGAGTTTCACTAAAAGCAGGAGTTTTTAAAGAGACAGAGGGTAAATTTCAAGGCCTTTACCAAATTACCAGGTAAAATTTCTTTTAAGTGATATTCGATATATTTACAACATTTTTACAACTACAACATAATGATTGTACTATAAAATGGCACTATGTGGCTGGAAAACATATAAAATATCCATGGATTCTTATGAAAGTCTCTATATCTGCAGGGAAGTGTGAATATTTGTTCAGGATTATTATGTGGATCAGCCCCACAGCTGCGATTGAGCCATAATCCTGAAAACACACATTTCTGTGTGACGGAATAAATCCATCCATTCTGACAGACTGACAGTGACGGGGAGCCATTAGACATCTTATCCTGGAGTTGAGGATCAAATCTAAAAAAAAATCATTTTTACATCCACTTAAAATAATAAAGTTTTATTGAGTAAATCTGAGATGAAAGTGCAGTGAATCCCAGCTGAACTCAGTCCTCTCGTACGGTTGAAATACTTTGATGGTAGTCGAGATTCAGACCCTCTGAATCCCCCCCGAGTTATTATTTGAAGGTGTTCCGAGCTGAGTAGAAATGAAAGTGTGTGTATGTATTTGTTTGCGTGTGTGTCTCTGGACCTTGAGCCACACAGCTGTGGAATGTAGCTGGCTGGTGAAGCCTATTAGCACATGGGGCCCTCCAGTCACACAGCCCTGATAGTAAGTGTAGAACCAAGCCACATTTTCACAGCAAAGGAATTCCTCATGTTTGTGCTTTAGAGCGTATGACCAGTAAAATAAAAAAATGAAAAAAATCCAGCAGGGACTGGGAAAACTGCTGAGCTGCATGGTGCATGTGTGGTGACAGAAATTAGGTCGACGGACCAAAACCGTTCCAAAGCATCCTGAGGTTAGACAATAAGGTCAAACATTACATCGAAAACAGTCACGAGATTTAATTTTTTTTTTAAAAGGAGTGGTTTACTATTCCATTTACTGTACAACAGCAAAGGTTTGGTGCGGCCTCAGTTTGGTAGCTTACTGATCATGACAAAAACGTTCCCAGTAGTCACTGAATTAACTTGAAACTGACAAAAGTAGTAATAAATAAACTTCTCCTGAAAATTGATCAATGAAAATCACACATTGCTTTTGAATTCTATTTTCCACATAATGATAAAGAAACAAACTAATCACAGGCCTGGACAACAATGATGCTTCCTGTTACTGGACATTTTGTTGCTCGACCTGTTGAGTCGATCACATCATATATTATTATAGATGATTTCTGGAAGTTTCAGAGAGACTTCTGCTTCTTTCCGTGGTTTTCTGGGTTACTCTTCATTGACAAACTGCATTTGAAACACTGTGACTTTTTAAGCTTTCTGAACATGATAAACTGGAGGGCTGAGAATTTTCAGATGCTTGGTTCAAGACAAAACAAAAATGTGCATAAATACATTTCAGGCTTACAAAGTTTGTTATGATTAATCACAAGACCAGAGTATAATTTTTTCCAGTCGACAGATCGAACTTTCACCACTTTGAAATAATTTGTTTTGCAGCATTTTGTGGAATTTGGGTAGAAACAAAATGGTGGCAGACAAGATATGATATATTTGAATAAACTACAAGTGGCAAGCTATTAGCTACTAACGATTAATCGTGATTAATCAGACCATTAGCATATGATTAATCTGCTGAAGTTTTTCGATCGATTAATGAAGCCTTCACCACTGAAATCATGTGGCACCATTTTGTGCAACTTGGGTAAAAACTAAATTCCACAAAATCACACATTGTGGAAATGGGAGTTTGAAGAAACGACGTGTCGACTCATTGGGGGAGAGTTTCAGAAAGAGCAGACAAATTCAAGGCATTGAATTTCTTTTGTGTCATGTTTGATGTGTGCAGCGTTGAATGAACGACTTGCTAACTGTTGGCGGCTAATGTTAGCGGCATCTGTTTCATGCCTGCTAAAGGTTTATTTCACAGTTTGTGACAATGTGGACAAACATATGATCATGACCATGTGCAAAAATGAATTACTTAGCTGGTTAACAATGAACTCAAACACCAAATGTGACATTAATTAAACATTTTCTTTTTGTGAAAATCAGACAGAGGATTCATTAGCTGACATCATGAGCACAGAGTGAAACCTGGACTGGATCATTTCACAGTGATTACAGAACAAGGCCTGGGAGGCATCACTCTTTCTGTGAACACAAGCAAATGAATTACTTCTTTCTTTCTCTCTTTCTTTCCTTCTTGCTAAATCAGTCACACGTCACCTTGTCCGTTCATTTTAATAAAATACGAGTCTGGGGATCAATCTTAGTTAATCCTTAATCTTAAAAGCCTCAGAGCAACACTGGAGAGTCGGGACAGCCAGGATGGGACACTCTTAAATAAACCTGTCATATAAAAGATAAAGCAGAAGCAGAAGGTTCAGATTTTGCATGAAGAAAAAAATTATAATACTTGACTCGGAGGAGTTTCTTAGTCTTAATTTCACGCCTTTTTCACCTTCCATTGTCTTTCATTTATCAGGTATCCAATATTAAGAAAGACGCTGGGCACCTAATGGCCTTTATTTCCTCATTCTGATGCTAATGAAGTTCAACCTCTCCATTAACTCCTGCCAAGAGTTAATTTGATTTACATTTATTTAGCATAAGAGGAGAAACACAGGAACAAACTCCAAGCAGCTTCCCAGCATCAGATCATCTGACGTGAAACTACACTTTAAAAATAACACTCCTTGCCTTTTGATGACGGTACAGTGCCTATAAAAACTATTCACCCTCTATGATGTATTACCTATTCCATTACTTTTACAAGTCAATCATGATCAACAAAATTTGACATTTTTGACAACAAAAAATTAAGGAAAAGAAATACCAGTTTGTAATTTAATGCCTTGAAACTGGGCCTCTGTCTCTTTAAGGGTTTCACAGATAATTAGCTCTTATGAGCTCAAGCAGATGTGCAGTTCCACCAAGTGTTTACTAACTGCTGCTGGCTAGTCTGAAGGAGCTGAGTGGAGGAGTTGTGGGGGAGGGAGGGCTGCTCTGTGAGGCAGAAGCATGGAAGCTTGGAAACTGCAGCTCTGAGGAGGGGCTGCGCCTTGAAGGCGGAGCTAGGTCCATCCAGGCGTTTTGCACAGCTGAATGGTTGCCATGGGAGATTAACAGATTTCTCAATCATGCATGAAAGAATCAAGGCAACACTCCAGGCATGTTTTTGGTGCGAGAATAACATTATAATATCATGTAAAGCTCAAAAATGCTAACTTTACATAAATACTGACCCTTTAACTGAGCGTCACCTCCAAAATCTTGAACTATCCCTTTAGTCTTTTCACCTGTGGAAAAAACATTGAAAATAGAGCATGTTGTCCTGCTCCCTAAACACAGATTCTAAGAAAAGAGATGCAAAGACATGCGAGAGACTAGTGGTGAAAATTATTGAAAAGCATAATAAAAGTTCAGCCCACTTACCATTCATAATTCTAATGAACTTTGATCAAACAATGCTCGACGTTTTGTTGGGATTAATAGAAAATGATCATGTCTGAGTGCAGCCATTAAACAGACCATTACATGACAACATGGCTGAACATTGAGCAAAGACAGATAACATGTGGAATCTGAGGTACGAAGTACAGAAAGCAGTGACCTTGTTAAGATGCCCAAGGATCATTACGTTCTCTCAGTATTGAGGGAAAAAATGGATTGTGTTGATTTCCTCATCAGACGAGTCCTGATTTATTTGTTTGTGAACTGAGCAGCTTTCAAATACTGTGAATAGAAGGTCTGATGTTTCTACATTCGGCCTTTACATGTAGATAACATGAAAGCAATTTGAGCCCTTTCGTAATCATTATTACTCTCAATCTGAAAATGGAAACCAGAAAGCTACGGTGCTTATCTGCAGTGTGTGAGTACAAAAGGATTTGATCAGATTCACACCAACTCAGAAAAATGCAGTAGAGTACAACATGTGACATTCCTGTGCAATCCAACGTTTTATACACCAATCATCTGTTGGACGTGTGAATAGATGAAAATTCAATGGTGGAGGATAAATGGTGGAGAGCAGAGGTCACAAAACGTGTCCTCTGAAGGCAGGGTTCAAAGGTCAAACTGATGC